CTTTATCCACAGTTTTTTGTGAGCAAATGATTATCTTTCTGATCACCTTGCTCAGAGGATAAATACCGACGCACTCTGAGTAGCTACAAACCGAAGTTTACATCATACAGTAACCTGAAGGAATCAAAAATTCTTAGGGTGTTGGTCTGTTTGGGGCATCTCTTGATCACTGTGATACATCCATTAACCTTCTATCTGTCACATAGACCATTCAACATATTTAAGGCACTTTTGAGTTTTGATCTCAGTATTGTCATCTAGAGAAAAGGAGTGTGTCTTCCCTTCCAGGTACTTTCCTTCATGCTTCTTGCCATTCTGGTTTATCCACAAGCCTTTTGGCAGCAACAACAGGAGCCAGTCTGATATCAATAGATTACCTGGAACCCCCTGAATTTACTGAATCTCCAAGAAGCAAGTTTGAAGCCCTGTTTCACCTTTGGATAAGCCTGGTCTTCAATTGTGGAGATGTTACAAGAAATAGTGTCAGCAGTTGAAATTAAATGTAGAGCTTTCACCAGAAGCAATGTACCACTACAGAAATTAAGTACTTATTTCTAGGACTTTGCAAGTGACTGGTTTTTACCATAAATGGAAATGTAGTTTTGAATCTTTGTTGACCCGTATTGATGGGTTTATATTTATTTGCAAAATTAATTGGAACTGATGTGGTTTACCAGAAAAATCTGGTTGAGGAAATGTTTTCAGATGTGCATTTACGTTCAACTACTAAGCGCGACCAAAAAGTGTGTGTTGGTTGCGCATAATTGGAGTAAATATTTTTTCAGGTTTCATTCATTTGGAATCTAGGTTACAATGCTGGATAAAATAATTTAAGAGCTGTTTGCGTATTTTGGACTGGAAAATCTTCTTTTTATTTGTACAGGAAGTATTTCTGTTATATGCAATGACTGGACAAAAGTAACAAAGCTGCAACAGTGAGTTGAATTAAAGTGACCGGGTCATTCAGGTCCTGTTGGAGGGGCGTTTATGAGGTTTTTTTAAATGTGATTCATAAAAGAGTTCCAAATTGCATTTACAGTGAGCTTCTAAAATGGTGCCAATTATTCACAATTAGAGTAAATATTTTTTCAGGTTTCGTTCTTTTGGAACTGAGGTTAGAACATTCAGTGAAAATATTCAATGGCACTTCTTACTAAACTGGGTACATGAGTGTGGGAGGTAGTAAGAAACGCACTAGAAACATCTGTGAGGTGTTCCAGGCATTTTTTATTTTATATGAAAAAAATGCCAAGCACCTTGGTAGGAAGGCAGCTGTAATACTGAGGAAAAACATTTGACACTTCAAGTTTTGCCCTGTTAATTTTTTCAGCTGTAAATAGGTACAGTAATTACTTTCATCCATCAACAGACTAGTTGCCCACTCTGCTAAACTCTGGTGAGTGGGCCGTGTGGGGACGCAGGGCGCTGCATTTGCCTGCTCAAACAACCCTCGCTGCTCCAACATCTGCTTCATGCCTTCACAAGGGAAGGGCAGAGGGCTGGAGGACGGGGCTGTTCTGTGTCTCATTCAGCTAGCATTTGATGTCGCAGTGAGTTAATAATTGTAAGGGATTTTCAAAATGGAGTGTCTTATATTAGTGTTGGATTGTGTTGACCCATGGCTTCTTAGAAAGTAGAAAAAAATGCACACACTACCTTACTAATTCATGCCCTCTGTTTACACATCTGTTCTTTGTATTATGGTATCCCTGCTTTTTGCCATATTGCCTTTCCTTCTTCCATATTTTTACCATATCAGAATGGACGTCAGTCAGCATAAGGCATACACAAAAATGTTAAGGAGTTTGGAAACACTGAGCTCAGTGTATCTATGTTTATTCTAACCTACTGGTATGGTCAGTCTAATGACAGTAACTTACAGAAGAATGGTGAGAAGTCTCTGGAGAAAATAATTTTTACTTTTTTTTCTCCAGTAACAAAAATATGAAAAAAGTTCAATTTTAGCAGTTGTAAAATAATATGTCATATTGTTATGAAGTCTAGCTAGCGGTTCCAAAAGTTTGGTTCAACAAACACCACACTTGACTATGTTCAAAATAAAACTCGTTAAAGTGAAGTATCACAGCTTCGGTATTTGTTATTTCAACATCACATTGATAAGACTCGTTCATTTTTAACGGATAACCTTATACATATTTATTGGGGTACTTTAAATTGGGACAAATAGGTAATCAGACCTTAAGAACTCCTGCTACAGAGTAGATGTAACTATTTTAGAACCTTTCCAATCATACTGATGTTTTAGATCATGCTTACTTAGGTCTGCATTTTCAAAGCCCCCTAATTCAGCCACCCACAGTGAAGTTCTGTCTCCTTTGATTTCGATTTCAGTTCTTCCATTTCATTGTACAGGATTAAGATTTCACCTATGGTCCGTATTTAGGCACATAAGTTTGTGGTCTGTTTTCTAGACATGCAGTATATGCTCAGCATTCCTTGCACCTGGATTGTATTTTGGATCTAATTCTGCAGATGTTCCATGGAGATAAAGTCCTGCATCTGCCCAGAATTAGCAGGAAGGGCTACATTCAAATGCTGAACTTTGCATATTTTAGCCAACGGCTCAAAGCTCAACCAATGACCAGGTAGGTGTTTGGTTTTTTACCCCTGAACTACCCTATACGCTATTATTCCATTTTTCTGTTACACCTCTGTCCCTTTGCTTCAAGCATTCTAACTTGGCATCTACGTCTTCAGCTCAATGTTAGCATATTACCAAGTATATTACTGCTTCTACCAAAATCACTCCAGCAGATTGTACCTTAAGTTGCATGCATGCAAATTTCACTGGAATCCTTGTAATAACATAGATCGGTATACTGATAGGACCAGTTGTAACTCTTTATGTTAACCTACACAGAACTCTTTTTCTTTTTTCTAACATAGACTCTAGGTTAGAAATGCTCATTTCATTTTATAGATACCAAAATTGCCAAGTCTAGCCATTAGTTTTGCTGCAGGAATTCTTGAAGGTCTTTAAGATATCTATCATGAGCTCTTACAATGTCCATGCCAGTGATCTTCTTATGTGTTAAGAGAAATCAGACTGTGCTAGCCATGCTGCCTTATCCAAGCTGCCTTATACAAGCTGGAGAGGTGGGCCTATGTGAACCTCATGAGGTTCAACACGGCCAAGTGCAAGGTCCTACACCTGGGTCGGGGTAATCCCCGCTATCAATACAGGATGGGGGATGAAAGGATCGAGAGTAGCTCTGCTGAGAGGGACTTGGGAGTACTGATAGACGAAAGGCTGGACATGAGCCGGCAATGTGCACTGGCAGCCCAGAGGGCCAACCGTGTCCTGGGCTGCATCAGGAGAAGTGTGGCCAGCAGAGAGAGAGGTGATTCTGCCCCTCTACTCTGCTCTGGTGAGACCTTTCGGTACTTAAAGGGAGCCTATAGGAAAGATGGGGACAATCTTTTTAGCAGAGACAGCAGTGGCAGGACGAGGGGTAATGGTTTTAAACTAAAACAGGGTAGGTTTAGGCTGGATATAAGGAAGAAATTCTTTACAATGAGGGTGGTGAAACACTGGAACGGGTTGCCCAGAGAGGTAGTGGAGGCCCCATCCCCGGCAACATTCAAGACCAGGTTGGACAGGGCTCTGAGCAACCTGATCTAGTTAGTGGTGTCCCTGCTTGCTGCGGGGGGGTTGGACTAGATGACCTCTAGGGGTCCCTTCCAACCCAAAACTTTCTATGATTCTATGATTCTATGATCCAGGTGGAGCCTGGGCAGGAATAGCACAAATGGCATCTTGAAGCTATGCCAATTAGATTTATATCACTTTTGCTACTTTAATACCTCACATGGCAAACGTTGTCAGTAAAACTTAGTACATAAATAAATGCATCTGCTTTGTCTGTGACCCTTTGCAGTGTAAATGTTACCTTCTGATCAGCAAAACTGCAGATAGCCAGTTGTTTCAAGAATTTCAGGAACAGGGACAAGCCTTATTTATTTATTTAGTTAGTTATTTATTCGGTATCAGAGAAAGATTTAGAAATGTGGTGTCAATAGATAAAAAATAATCCAAATGAACACTGAGCCACATGAAGCCCTGTCTTCTCTTTAATACTGTACAGTAGTAGCTATCGGTTATGTTTAGAATAATGCTTCCATTCCAGTTTTCATAACAAAGCTATATTACAGCAAACATAAGTGTTACTTTTAAGAATTCTACAGATCTGCTTCACTTCAATCTGTCTTTTTAAAAAATACTGATTTTTCAATTAGATGCTTAAATATATTTGAAATTATAACAACAGAAGCCAGCCTGAAGTACAATTAAAAAAAAAAAAAATTCTGCTTTCAAAGCATTTTTGCTACACAAACCCACAAGATCAAATGCTATCACTGTAAGCATATTTACGGCACACACATAATCACATAATGCATACCCAGATGCTTATTGGTAAACTATGCTTCTGAACGCTCTGAACAAGGGCTGTGATTCCAAATAGCAGATAGATTCAGCTCCAGCAGCTGCAGTGGTTGCTGCTCCAGATGTCTGCCAGAGGTTACCGTCGCTCTGCTGCTCCTCAGCTGCCACGGTTCTCAGCTCAGCAGACCAACTCACAGACTAACTCGCCAACTACTACACCAGTGCACTTTCCGAGGAGAGAAGCGATGCCCCATGCAGCTCTCCAACCCCTGGCAAGGAAGCAGGGCAGGCAACTGGCATAAGGAGTTAAAACCTCTGGCAGCCAAGGCTAGACCTATCTAGAATTGCAAATCAGAGCCCTAAGATAAAGTTCCGTCAGCTTGAATACGCCTACCACATATTAGTGCAAACCTATGCTCTACGGCTTGCAGTGGCTTGAAAGGAAAAGCAAACCTTTTAAAAATAAAGTGCAGCAAAAATGTCTATGCCATCAGTTCTTACAGTCGATGAGTTCTGGGTTAATAAATCCTGCCGACCAAGCCAAATTGTGACCCTTGTCGTTCATGAGAAGTCTTTCCTTTTAGAGATTTCACTTTCATACTTTTTTAGGGTTGACTTCTTTCTGGCCATTTCTTATTTTGGTGGCCTTTTTGGGAACATTGACCAGTGGGTTGGTGTTCTTGGTTGATGGTTTTGGGGCTCCACTCCGACCACTGCGCCCTGCATTCTGGTTCTTACTGTGGGCCGTTCGCAGCTTTTGTTCTTGTAGTCTCTGTTCCCACCTCTGCGGAAATGCAGAAAACAAAGAGGCTGAGTTAGAGAAAGACATTGCCATAAATAATTACATCTTAATCAAAGCTACCCTGAACCTTGGAGGCTAGTGCTGCTTTTAATGGTTTTGTGCTTGCTCTATCCTGCAGAGCCATTGATCTCAGCGTGTTATGGCTGTCTGCAGAGGGAACCTGCCACGTGTTCTTGGGTGGGGGAATTTCCACAATACCAGCTGACAAAAATGACCACTGCACATCTCGTGTGCACGCTGCACGTGAGCGCACAGCTCACGCCTTTTCAGAAATCCAGGGGAGCTGGCACCACTCCACCAAACAGACAGAGTCTGCACACCAGGACTCCTTTGAAAACCCATTCTTTGCTGTCTTACTGAACGCCGTACTTGACTTTTCCTTGGAGAAGTCTGCAGAAAGCAGGCAATCCTTTCACAATATGTATTCAAACATACAGCTATAAGCGAAGGTGGTATTTACTTTCTGGTTCTGCTTTTCCCTGGGGTGGAGAGGACTGGGCATAAAAGAGATTAAGTTACGGACAGACGATGGAGGTGACTGCTGAAATCACAGAGTGTTCAGAGTTGCAATGGCACAGCTGTGAGTAATGCACCTGCAGCTTTATTCAGCAGCATTCCTGAGAAATTTTGAAAAGGAATGAGATCAACGAGCCCACCAAAGAGAATAGCTGTCAGATCTCCAAACCCAAAAGTGCAGCGGTTAGAAAACAGGTTTTTACAGTAAGGTTAAGTGGCTAGGTGTCCAAATTATGGAAAGATCCACAACACGGCAGCGGAGACTGCAGTCTTTCACCTCTCGGAACAGAAACAGTTGTTTTAAGGAAAGCAAGGTAGATAATAGAACCTGGAAGGAGTCTCACCTTTCCCCTCTATTAATGAACCTTCTCTTCTGAAACCCCCAAAGGCAGGGACTTTCCCAGTGATCAGAGCAAGAGAAGTGCTCTCCAGATTTACTCTTTAGTATCTCTGCACTGACCCTGTTGCTACTCAGACTCTTGTCCTGGCTAGAGAAGAGACCAGCCATGTTGCGGTTATGTTAACAGATGTCTTCTGTGGTCCACAGACAGCTCAAAACATTCATTTTAAGTGGTAACTCAAGACAAAAGTTGGATGCAAGTCTACAGAGATGAATGACGGGCACTAAAATGAAGCCACTGTGAAACCTAGCTCCATATTTGCATAGTCAGGGTCATTATATGCATCTTTATAAAACAAAAAACTGTCAGCAGGCATTTAGGTGTGTCCCACTCAAACACATTTAAATGAGGATTTAATTTATAAAACTATTAATATCAGAGGCAATAACACATGCTTTGAGAAGTATCTTGTTTGGCAGTCATGCATCTATTTGACAGTCTAGAAATGAACTTCCAAACAGGTTTCAAGGCACAGTTAGAAATGAAAAAACAACGTGAGGAGGCCACTAAAACATGCTGTGTGCCAGTAACAGGCCATTAAGTTGACAGCTAAGGGACTTCAAGAGTCCGAGTCATACGTCAGTGTTCTCCTAAATCCCACATGGTATCATCCGCAATTGCAATATATTAATTTTTTAAAGATTTAAAGCATGTTTTCTTTTTCACACATAGGATTTACATGAGTAAGTGTGAAGAAAAGGGAAAGATGAAAGCATCAAATACAACTTCCTGCAAGAAGCCAGTCTGTAATATAAAAGCTTCTACAGATGGAAGCATGCATCTTTTTTCCTCCCCTCTACCAACTGCCAATCAGCCATTAATTGAAACAAATATCCATGCATGTCCTTATTGCTCTGAAACCTTTCCTGAATTGCAGAAATAATTTTCTTCCATCTCTAAAAGTGTGAGGAAGAGCCAGACACTGTCTTGATCCACTCTTTCTTTCCACTCTAAAGAGGAATTTACAAGCAGGGAGTGATAGCAAGTGCTCCCCCGATGCCCAGCAGGTGCATCTGTTGCTCCTGTCTTGCAGGTCTCTATACTACAGACTTTTCCCTCCAATGTCCCCTCAAACCAGTCAGGGGACGCCCAATACTTTCAGGAGGTCTTTAGTGGGAAGCAGCTGGTGAGAATCAGTGTCTCAGGCCTGCAAACTTTAATGCAGCAAAGCCCATTTATCCAGTGCGGTGGATGCTAACTTCCTTTCTTACCTACTGTGGATTATATACTCCTCTGCATATCCCCTATCTGACAGCTACTTGCCTTAGCAGTGACAGGAAAGAAATTCCTGGAGTCATTAGTGTAATAAGCCAGAGTTCACACAAAGATCATCCAACCATCCTATTTAGAGACTGTTTGCAGATAAAATAGAAGTAAACTTTTACAGATCCTAAAATGCAAGACTTTCAAATTTTCACTTCACTTCTATGTAGTTATGGGGTTTGAAAATGTTGAAGTGAAAACAGTAACATCCAGAGGTGTCATGGATATCTGAAAGTCAAGCAAGGTATTCAGAGCTGAAGTAGAGCAAAGGTGTTCAACCTTTTATCGAGAATATCAGCATTCTTTTCTTTGGCTGTATTTACCTTGAATCTTTTGTTTAGTTGATCCTTCCATTTTTCAACTAGACATCCATCAAGAAGCATCAACCTGAAAATTGAGAAATAAATACAAGTTACAGGTATTTCTGTGTTTCATTCCTGAGATGTCATTCCAGATGACAAAACACAGACTGAGGTTGAAATGCACCAGCAGGAACTCGTACTGGCAGTTTCTCTGTGTGATGATGACAGGCGCAAAAATATTTTTCTCTATCCCTAAATGCTTTTTAATGGATTTCTAAATGCTTATACTGCTCCTTTTGAAATTCTGTTCTAAACTCTGTAAAAACAGAAAATGGTTTTCAAAAGAAATCAGATTTCACAGCCGAAACTGTAGCACATGGCTAGTATTGAGAAAACATTTAGAGCCCTTTGTCCTCACCTGCAGCTATTCTGCAAGGGAAAATGGTCCCGTCTTGATCACCGTTAACAAAAAGTGATGGGTTGGGTAACATCCCATGAAACCGTTTAAATGTATATGTACATATATTTTTACTTACTCCCACTAGATATTTGTGTCTGTGTGTGTCTGTGAGTGTGCAGAAGAGTAGTTTAAAATAATGTATTTTACTTCTGAATTTAAAAAAAAACTATGTTCCACATTATCTGATCTCAGCACTTTGCTGGTGGGTGAGTTTTCAAAGCACAGCAGGACCTGACTCCCCAGTTTCTGTGAACAACGTTGCTGCTCATACCAGTTCAAAAAGAGCACAAAATGTTGCCTCCTTTAGCCATTAGCCACTACACATCCACTTTGCCCAAATATAAAAGGACTATAGTGAGTGCAAGCCCTGGAGAATCAAGACAAATACAATACATATCTCCTTTCTGAGGAGAGATTAGAGAATTAAAATACGGGATTGAAGCTAAACCCACATCATGATGAATGAAACCACAACACAGAACACATCTGATGCAGCTTCTGTTCAGGTCAAATTATTGAGTGAGACCCTAACCCTGCTGACGGGCAATGGGTGTTTTGCGGTTGACTTCTGTGGAGCTACAGCTCCCACTCATTTTGCCTCTGACATTTCACAAAGCTACGGTAACTCAAAACCTTCTGTTTGCATGCCACTGAGTTCAACAGGAAACACATATAACAGTTTATGTTTCTTTTTCAAATCCATGTTGCTATGCTATATGAAATTAAAAACCTCAGTGACCTTTAAAAACCATCACAAAATATTTAGTGAATGGTGTGTTTTTGCATAGTACTGGAGAAGCAGACTGCAATCTTTCATTTTTGAAATCCCCACACCCTGACAGCCTCCTGACGGTCCTCTCCAACAAAGCCCTGCAGCTCAGAGCTCCTCGATCGCAAGCTTAGTCGTGGTCCTTCTGCGTGACTCAAAGCACATATCCCTACAATGGCTAACACAAGTAAAGGGCTCTGCATTAATCTCTGTGAAATACTTCCAGATCTGGAGGAGCAAGATGCTGTCCAATAATAAAATACTGTGCCTGTTAGCTCACCAAAATAAAAAAAAAAAAATTAATGAGGTATCAGATGGCGACTTTTAGAAACACCTATAAAATGCTTTTAAAGTACCAACATAAAGCTCACTGAAAATACGGATATCGCCCATCAAGGTCTGCACGTAGATGTTCTACGGTCCCGACAAGTGCGCATGTTCAATTAACAGTCGTCTCACTGTATGCAACACCAGCCTGCACGTTTTACGAACAGCCTTGCCTCTGACCGACAGCACAGAGCCACGCGTACCCACCACGCCACAACCTGTCCTGCCGGCGTCTGCTGCTGCTGGTACACTTGGGGTGCTAACGGGGATGGGATGTCCCCTTCTGCCTCAGGAACCCAGCGAGAGAAGGCAGCTGTGATTCATCACTCCCTCCCCTCCAGACCAACATGCTGGCTTTCCTTCCATGCCTGGGGCTAGGCTGACTGCCAGATGAAAGGTCTAGTAAAGTCAGTTTTGTTTTGTCTTTTAATCATATGGCAGAACTGGCAAGCTGCACTGAGAGTGTTGCCTTTTCATCTGCTATCCAGGAGCCGGAGCTCCAACGGCTGCAGCTTTGGCTGGTCCTGGTACAGCTGTGGGATCAGAAACATCTCACTGATGGCATCGGTCCGACCGGCAGAGAAGGCATTGCTCTGTCTCCAGCAGCTCTGCGGACAGGAGATGCGTATCTTCTGCTGTCCCCTCCCCTGGGGTTGGTGAGGCAGAACTATGCCTCCCATGTGGTCCTGCCAACATGGACCACCATCTATGGCCGCCATCGTGTTTCTAGCACACAAAGCAGCTCATACCTCCAGAAAGGGGCCCTGGAAAAACCCTCCTGAACAGCTGGAGATGCCTGAACTGCTGCACGATGCATTAAGCAATATGCCGTCAGCACCTCGTGCCACCAGGTTTTACGCTCCGTGCGTGCGCCAAGTTTTGTCAACACTGCATCGTGGCGCAGAGCTGAGGCTGATTAAGTCGAAAAAATTAATTGCGAAGTTAATTGAAACACGTAGGTGTATGTGTGAGTTATCCTAAGAAAAACTATCAGCAAAACCTGCTCACGATGAGGAAGGGAGCTTTGCTGTCCTCCTTCCCATCTATCACAGCTAGCTACAACACTTCGCCAGGGCTCACCTTGAGTGCCATTCATAGCACATGATGAGAACATCCTGCTTCGGCTGAAGAGGTGGACACTGGCAGGAGGAATTCGTAAGAAGAGGCACTTGAGACAGAGGAATTGGTGTCGAAGACTTCAGTGTGTCTTTGACTTCAACCACAGTGGTTATCTCGTTGCAGTTCCCTCTTTCTACCCTTTTTACTCTCGCATGAATGACTGCAATTAGAAAAACAGAGGCGTGAAAACAGCAAACAGCCTTGGAAATATTAACAAATCTCAACGTTAAATAAAATGTATTAAACTGAAAGCTGTTGTTTCAGCTGTGAAACCAGAATCACTTCTTCACGTGTGGGCACATACAGTGGCTTAGAATAACAGAGGCCTGATCCCGACTTGGTTTTCAGTAGGGCTGTTGACAACTGTAAAATTAAACATGTTCTTAGATCTTTGCCAGATCAGGCCAAGCGATCTCACCTGGAACCACACACACAAACAGCTGCTTTGACTCGGACTTGAATGGCTCCTGATGTAAATCGGACCCATTCTATAGCCACATCTGGCTATCTCCAATGAAGTAATGAATAATTTACCTCACAGACAGTGTGGATTCAGACTTCTCGACAACAAAATGATTTCCCTGCAGGTTACATCCCGGAACTAAAGTCTTTTCTTGAGTATAAGAAAGAAGGGAAGGTTTGAAGCAGGTAGTCAAAAGCTAAGAGGCTTAGAAGGGTCATGATGAACTCAGTTTATACTTTTTTCCATCTTTTGCCTTTGGATTATCCATCAACTGTAAAATCCTCATATAAAACAGACTCTGGAAAGGGTTCCTCTGACTCTGAATACACAAACATTCACATTTTTACCTTTTGTTAAGGAAAACTGCATGTCTGCATGGATGCAAGAAGGTGAAACTGTGTAGATTGCTCTGAGGATGATCCCTGGCTAACTCTGCACCCGAGAACCCCGGCGGTACCTACCACCGCAGCGTTTCACCCCTTCTCCCTTGTGACAAGTACCAAATCAGAGAAATGAAGCACGATTTTCACATGGAGGACTTTGTCTCTAGGAAATGTCAAAACAGGAAGGGTCCTATTATCACAAAATTTTTCAGTGAAAGAAGCATCAGCAGTGTACGTGCCACAGGGTGATCAGCCCGAACCGACGCTGCCCCTGGCAGCCACCAGCTCAAAAGCCCTCAAATGGACCTCCTAACGTTTGGAATAAACCTCTCCTGGTAGAAACCAGGAGACCAGCAATTTTAATGCAGTCTGGGTTTTCTGTGCTGACTTTATCAGGACATGTGTAACAGCCACAAAACACATGAGGGATTTCAGTTTTGGAGGCTCACAATACATTTTCAAGTCTGATTGAAACTAAGTTCTGACCAGCTAGAAATATAATTTGGCTGTATAAATTATTTTAAAGTATTTCAGACAAAAAAAATGGATTTTATTTTTGCAACTTCTCCTGCCTTGTCTCTCAATTCATTTTCCTTACGAATAAAAATCTGCCTCTCAAAAACAAAGTCTTGATTTCACAAATCCAGCGGAACTTAATTTTGGACCCCAAGCTACACTTTTTATCCAAGCAGCACTCCCACTGGAGTCACTGGAATCACAATTTATATGACTAACACCTGTATTTCATTTCAGAGTAGTCATTTTTTATCACTGCTTTTTTTGCCCATAAAGTGCAAAAGACCATGATACCGCGTGTTAAATTAATAGTTAATAGGGGTTTTCTATTGACATTACAGACACTCAATCCAGTATTTATCCAGTCTTAATCAGACTTCTTCCTGACTCCCAGCATCAGAAAAACAGAGAGGGGAGACCCGGGGGGAGACTCAGGGGGGAAAGAGGGATGAATACAAAGATGGGACTTCTAGTGCCGACACATCACGCAACATATCATGAAACTATCGGCCAGCTCCTCGGCCAGCTGCTGCAGATTGGCAGTGAATTCAGATCATCCGTGACAATTCCGCACCGGATGAAACTCTGCCTACTCAGTAAAAGAACACGTGCATTTGTAAGTAACAACTCTACCTTGCCTCAGCCTCGTCCCCATTTACAAGTTCTTTTTCAGGCGATGAACCCCTGTTTATCCCACCCGCTGGACCAGAACAGCAGCTGGCCGAGCAGCGCATGACCTTTGCAGTGGCAAGCACCACTCCCGCAGAGCGACCTGTCGATCCCAGCGCACGCGACCGACCTTCCACCGCTTTTATCGCAGTTGCGCCATCATCGCCATCACCCGCGCGACGACCGCGGCCGCCTGCACCAGGTGGGGTT